GCAGGTTGAAATATTTTTGATGGCTGAATTATTCATGGTATTAGTAATCAACCACTAAGATATCACTGATAAAATTTGATTTTTAAAGACTGTGAAAGAAAAAGATAAAAGTAACTAGGTTAGATGTCTGAGAAAAAAAGTGGGAAAGCTTCTCTATAGATGTCTATACAAGACTGATCAATACACAGTAGCGATCAGTGAAATCTTGTTGCAGGAACATAAAATGTCTGGACTACTGGTGGAAAAAATCTTTCTATTTTGGTACTTTGAGGTTTACTGATGATTATATCATGAAAACTGACAAGAGATTGTTGGGTCTGTTGATAATAATCACTTTTATCTTTACCTCTTATATTTTTCTCTTTCCATTATCAAATGTAGCGAAGAATGGCGACTTCTTCCATGTTATTGTGTACAATTCAATTTGGTTAATGTGATTAATGGTGTATATTGAAGAATTCTAATTTGATTTTCTATTAAACAGATAAATGATTGAAATATGAGCCATGCTGTTTGTTATAAAGGCATATATTTTACACATATTAAAAACAAGAATTCTAATTGATTGTGTTCTACATATTACTCTATTGATTTCTTAATATTCTATGGGCAATTCACTTTTTATTTTTTATCACAGTATATTTTCAGTATTTGTGATGCAAACATCAAATTAGTTTTTTTTTTAGATAATTTATTTTATGATAGGCTGGGTAATGATACTTGTATACATCAATTGATTTATTCCGTATGTCATTCAGCCATTACAAGTACAGTTATTTTTACATTCTAAATTTATATCATTAGTCTGTCGTTCAGACATGTTTAATGTACCAGCTTTATGGGGGTTTTTTACTGGAAAAAAAACCTGTGCAAAACCATATAGTCTACATCAGAACCGTTTAATTCAGACTAATTTAGATTTATGTATATATATATATATAATTATTATTTTATCAAAGCTTGGTAAAATAAATTATTATCTGTATATTAAATTTAATTTCTGTTCGGACGAGCAGACATGTTATTGAATAAATGAGCAAATAAATACTAATTGTAAACAAAACATATTTATAATTTGTAAGTATCATCTACCAGTTATGTAATATATTGACAAAAATTACGAAGAAGTTCCTTTGCTAACGATTGGATGAAATCAAATTATGTATTTACATTATATTTTTTGTAGTTGAGGTTAATTTAAGGTAATTTAATATTAAAAAAAAAGCGAAAAAGAAATTACTCATCAGAGCAGAGGTGGTATGACTTTGTTTTGCTTGTGATAGGATCCAACATTTAAAACATATGACAATGTGAGGTACATGTATAATCCGATTTTTATGCATTTTGTATGCCCCAATTTTCTTGTGAAACTTGACACATAACCACTTATAACAGAGTCTGCTGAATAATAAATACTTTTTGGAGAAAAGACAGATACTTATATATATATATATGTATATACATGTATATATATATTGTTAACAATGATTTTTCCACAGAAATTTATTATTCCCGAACCAAGTAGTCTCTCTAAAGAAGATATTCAATCTACTGTTGTTCACAGTAATCAAGACTAAATAGTTGGCAATTAACTGTTAAGAGTGGTCATTTCTACTGACGATACAAGGGTATCGACTAAGCAGATGACAGACACAGTAGGACAGGAAAGGAAAACTCTGTTGCACACTACACTATGAAAGTCCACATAGTAGATAACTCGATACCCAGTAGTTGGAATTCAAACAATAGCAGGTTGAAAAACAGTCCTAGTCAAATTTGCTGCACTCTGTTTTATTTCAATTCATTAAAAAGATTTAAATATTGAACCCTCTGGATACCATCTTTGGGGAGTGTTGAATTGAACAAATGAAAAAAAAAAAACTTCACATGCCAGTGCTTCTTTTGGTTCTATTACAAAGTAATTTTAAATATGAACATTTAAAAATGAGATAAATATGAAGCAAAAAAAAATCGCTGTAATTTAAGTATAAAAGCTTTTTAATACAACTGACATGTTGTGTGAGCCGAAACTTTCAATTCAGATAAGTTACTGTACTATTATATAGTAAATAGATTGAATTGGTGACAGTGATTAGTTACAGTCAGTGATACTATTACTATATCTGGCTTGATATATATTATATGTTAGCTTGTAACTATCTCCAATCTTTATAGGCCATCACTCTCTTTGGTACCACAGATCATTTATATTATGTGTGTTATTTGTTCTGAAGCCATATCATTGCAATTTTGTACAGTACTTGTGTGCCGAGATGTAAATATTTATTTACTTTTCATGTATTAAAGATAAATTCTAGAGGGTATAATTAAATTGTATATTTATGATTGCTCTAAACCAATGCAATCACATATTTTATTGTAAATCTACTGGTGTTGATATCATGATGGATATTTGTTATAAATAGATAATTATGTGTTTGAAGTTTAGTAGGTACACATCAAGTGTTTTTCATCTTGTCTGTATTCTATTGAACAGTGTATTGTTACTGTGGCGTCCACAGGGTTTCTCTTTCATGACACAAGTCTTCGATACTCAAATATTTAGTCTTCACCTGGCTTGTGCTATTCTTACCCAAATCAAAACATACTTTTCCAAGACTATTTTATTTCTTTTAGTACGAAATCATATTTGAAGTAGTCCGAATCAAATATTCAACATCCAGTATTTATTTGTCTATTAGAATTTGAAGTGTTTTTGTGGTAGGAAGAATGAGTTCCTGTAGAAACAGATTAAAGGAATTGAAAATCAGCCTAAAACTAAAACTGTGGTCATGTTTGATTGTTGTTGTTTGATAATGATATGCGTTAATGAATTTTAATCGAATATATTTACAGTAAAATTGTTAATGACTTAACAAGTTATACTATTATACAATTTATGATTACTTTGTATCAAAAGTTATTCATTTGGTCGAAATTCCAAAATATCTAGCTGGAGCTTATTTATTAAAGATACATTATGGGAGATTAGATAAAGAGCTGACAGTTCTCGCTATAATAGTTAAAAATGTATTCTGTATTTTAACACTGTGACATTGGTAGTGTGGAGCAATGGAAATTGCAAATTGTAAAACTTTAATACGTATTATGAACTGCTGACATATGTATTTTGCACCATGAACATTGAAATAATTTTGGCAACGTTATCCTTCCATAATATCTGACCAATTGTGGGTTTCTCAAGTTTATGTACGGAAGTTTTCTTCTTTTTTTTTTTCCATTTCCATTTCCAGGTCGTCACATTCTATTCCATTGATTAAGTTCCAAAGCGGTATTATTTGTGGGGATCACGGTGGCTAAGTGGGTAAGGCGCTGGCTCGCCAGCCTGGAGGTCGGCCGAGAAAGTTCATCCAGATTTTCCGGCGTAGTTCTCCCTTGTCAGTGATGCAGGACGGAGGGGCTGACAAGGAAAGCTGTCTAGTCGTTCGGATGGGACGAAAAACCGAGATCCTGTGTACACGTTGGCGTGCACGTAAAAGATCCCTCATAGCACACTGTATGGCGTATGCCCGTCTTCATTAACCCAGTTCGGAGCAAAACAGTAGGACGTTAAACCCCATTTCATTTCATTTTTTCATTGCTTTCTTTGTTTCTCCTATTATCTTCTCTATTAATTATTTGTAAAGCTTAATGTCTGTGTGTGTCAGTTGCATTTTTTGGAAAATATCAAATTTTCCATGACTTTATCCACACTAAAATGTACTCAAATTAATGATTTAATATATAATTAACCAAAAAATAATCAAAATATCAATGGTAGATAATCTTACAGCTTTGATTCAGTTGGATTAAAAATAGACCTGTCAAAAGATTTCGACAACAATTATAGGTGGCACTGGTTTCTCTTGTCTATATTATATCCTATATGATGCTGAATGGTGACATATTTTCAATTCATCATATCTTTTTTAAATACTGAACTAAATTGAGCTATTTTTGTACTGATAATCCTTTTAGTTTTACAGATTCAACTTTCACAATATTGCAGTAAATCAATCAGAGGGTTCCCACACAGACCTAGTCTGTTTTCCAAACTTGTTCAAATGTTAGCTGATAAAAGTATTGTTTAAAAATTATTTTGGTATAGGAGGCTTCCACTTGTCATCAAAAGTTGAATTAAAATCTATTTGAAAAATTTATTCATGTCATCAAATTTTGCATTATTGCATTACGTTATCAAATTCTGAATTCCTACCCTATTATAGCCTTAACTAACTAATTGAAATTAAGTTTGGAATTTTGGCAAACCTGTCGAATACATATGGTAGGCAGAGTGGATTGTTCCGTCTATATAGCAATGTACTCAATAATAATATAGTCCTAGGATTCATGGATGGTAATTAGAATGGGCGTTATTTTTCCAGTACCTGTAACGAGAAAACGGACAGTGACCGTCCATCGCCCACCTGGGCTTATTGGTTGTCTCATCTTGGTTGTTTGTTTGGCAATGAGAGAGAGGATTGAGAGTGACGAAGCACGTGACAGGGTGTTTTTTTCCGTGATGGCCAAAGTCGTCGTGTAGTGTGCTCAATCCACTTATATTGAGGCGATATTTGTCGCCAGACTCGTCGCTTGAGTTGTCGCATAGTGTGCGCCAGGCTTAAAATGTTCAGATGATTTATTGAGAAAATAACAGCTAAGGCCAGGATTTTGAATATATATGTTCGAAGACCTGTTAAAAATTTTACTTTCTATTTCTTGGCTGGGGGGAAATAATTTAAAAACAAAAAGTAGTTGGTTGCTCTTCTCAGAGGCTTCTAGTGCCAAATATTTAAGTTTTGAAATTTTAAACAAAACATTTTTCACACAACATCAGTACGCTATTTACTTATTGAGTCCCAAAGAAATAAAAATTAAATTGGTATGGCCTAACAGGGATGCTGTGCCTGAGGTTTCAAGAGAACTTTCCTTTGTTTCAATATCACAATTATTATCACAATTATAAATTTTAAGAAGATGGATATTTTGATCTTTTTCAGATCGTTAGATGGTCGTCTACAAGTATCTCACCGTAAAGGGTTACCACACGTTATCTACTGTCGTTTATGGAGGTGGCCAGACCTGCAGAGTCACCAGGAATTACGCGCCCAAGATAGGTGTGAATATGCATTTCATCTAAAACGAGACGAGGTCTGTGTCAATCCTTACCATTATATACGAGTGGAACCACCAGGTAGTTATATTTTTAACATAAGCTGGGCACAATTTGTTTTGACACAAGTTTCCATTTGATTTAAATTTTAAACATGTGTATGTGGTATGAAATCAGAGAATTAAATACCCTGCAATGAACATAGATCCTGGGAATAATATTAATAAAGTGAATATTCTAATGCCAAATGAATTGTGGAAGAATTCACAACATCAGGCAATTGATCTTGCTTTGATTTTCTGAAAGTAAACACGAATATGTATTGAATATGGATGGCTGCACACAGCTGCTCTACTGAGTGCAGTCTTTTATATGTATTTATATATATTCCTTAAAATAAAGAATTTTCTACTATGGCACAAATAAAAAAATAAAAAATGCTGTGGCAGAATGGAACTGCTATGGCACCACAGCATTTTTTGTACATCAAAATCAATACTTTTCTGAATTTTTCTGAAATTTATTTATTATACACATGATAAACAAAACTAAAGTAAACTGTCGTCGGATTGTAACTCATAACCAATGCTATGTAGTTTCCAGTTATCAACGATTATTTTCTAATCCCCATTATGGAATCAAAAACGATGTGTATCCATACGCGCGAATAGTTTGTGAAATGAATTTAAAATTTATTGTTTGTTTGGCATATAGAGATTCTCCTACGAGTCATTTTTGATATCAAAAAATATCAACACAAGTCGATAAAGTAAAAAAGACGAGTAGGAGATTTTATTTATCACACAATCCCTTCTTACATACACAAATAAATAAATATAATTCTTTGCTGTAGATTTCACTTTTAGTGAACCTGATTACATTACGGCATAGTGATACAACACTAAAACAGATCTATTTTATGTAATTTTGGTTTGAAAGAATTGCAAAAAAATAAATATGATGAACTTTTACGCTCCGTCCATGTCCTTCGTACTTGAAAAACGATTCAGTTAAAAATACAAATTACGAGAATGGTAACATTGTTCATGCATTAGCCAGAGTAACCAGGCAACAGTTTGTGCACTCTATGTCTAGTTTAGTTTATAATCGTTGAAAATAACACCACTGTAACGGTAAAGCATGGATAGGCCTACAGTGACCGTGGCTCAGTGTGCATGCAAGGCATTATCTAACTAACTAGGAGGCCAAGAAAGTTCCTCAGCATTTTCCAGTGTGGTTTCCCTTTGTCAGGATTGAGGGTTATGGTAAGGAACAGAGTTTTGTCAATTGGGATGAAAAACTGAAGTCCCATATACATATTGGCATGCACATAAAAGAACCCCTAATGGTTAGAATATGAGTAGGCTGTAGTGCCACTGTCTGGGTAAAATTTTCCTCATAACACACATAATAAAATAAAAAATAAGATAATCTTCTTATATAGCGCTGTGACCTCCAGTATGTAATACTGCTTTATGGTGCTTCACATAATTGTTAATAAGTTTAAAAATTAATATAGGGATAAAATTATCACAGAATCCATATTTAATTCTAAACTAAATCGAAGGTGACAAAAAGTTAAAAATTAATACAGGGATAGAATTATCACAGAATACATATAAAAGTATAACCTAATTGTAAGTTACAAACGAATTAACGATATGCAAGTTTGAAGAAATGTGTTTTTGATCTAGATTTAAAATCTGAGATATTAGGGCTTTCTTTTACATCATAAGGCAGTTTGTTCCATTCACAAGGAGAGGCGTACTTAAAGTAGCTAAGTCTCTAACTAAATATCAACCCAAATCTTCTACACTGAAAGCACAAATTATTTGCCAATTTAAATAAACATTTATGTTGTGATCTTACCGGGAAAAGATGGGCTTCTGATATCCAATATTGTACAGGAATCGTGTGCCAAAATCCATTTCAGCACTTTTTATAGACCCACATTTTCATGTGGACGTAAATTGACGTCGCCCCTGTCTGTCCAGATGTCCACAATTGTTGTGGACACTCTACAGGTCACAATTCTTATCCGATTTCAACGAAACTTGAAATATAGGTTTATTTCCATAATATCTCGATTCCTTTTGATAATGGCATGTATCGAACCGTAACTTCATGGATTATGGCCCCTGATTATACGAAAAATCCTGTTTTTAGCTTGTGGAAAATTTTTATCCGATTTTGTTGAAACTTGAAATATAAGTTTATAACCCAAACATCTCGGTTCCTTTTGATTAAGACTTCTGGCGTATTTCGCCGAACATAACTGATTAGAAATTACAGTAAAAACAGAAACGATTGAATGTAAATCAGTTCATATGCATTTATATTGCAATATTATATGCGTTGCTACCCATTTGTGTCAATTTCTAGGTCTCAAATATTAGCGATTTAGCTCCTTTAAACGCTTGTTCACCAAAACGAGTTCTTTGGGGCAGATTAATTTATTTTGAGTTGATGATGATCTGTGCTTTCGTGAAGGGTCGTATGGATGTATAAGTTGTGTGAGATAGCCTGGTGAATTGGGATTGTGAACATATTTTTCTTAAAGGCTATACAATATTTTAGAGGTAGCCAGTGTAATTCAGATAGGATTGGAGATATCTTGAGAAACTTTCGCTTGACAGACTATCCTTGCCTGTCTCCATTAGCCTGGTTGGTGCAGAAAAGTGGGACATTAAACCAATTTCATTTCATTTTTGTTGACCTCCTAGATGCTAAAGGTATAATCTAATAATAGATTTGATATTTTTACATGGTGTTAATGTTCATGAGACAAAGACCCCTATTCAGTTTCAGATAATTGCTACTATAGATATCACCCCTAATAAAAATGAAAATTCTGTTCAGGTAAAATGTTCCTCACAACACACACTTAGAGCCTACACATATCTGAACGTCATTCTGAGGGATTATTAATTCCCTTGTTAAATTCAATATTATAAAATAGAGTCTTTAAAACTAAAAAGGAATATTAGTCTAAAAATGTTTCAATTCCGTTTAGATATGATGATTTGAAATTTGTTCAACATTCGAAATCCACTGCGGACAAAATAGCCAGTGTCACCTACATGTATGAGTTTTGTTGAATTTTTTCATGTCCCTCTTTTTGATCTGATTGATTCAATTTTGATTTGGTTTTCTTGATTAAATGTTAAATAGTGATTTTGAGTATATTTTAGCATGGATTAAGTTGATTCCCTGTAAGCCTTTCACACATTTATATCCTGTTGAATATTTGGATTAATACATTAAAAATAAATTGTAATATCAGATAAAAAAGTAGACACATCAACTGTAATCTTCTGTAAAGGAATGTGGAAACTAATTTCGTAATCTACTTCATTCCTGCTAATCAAAGCGTAGGACGAACTTGATTTGCGAACCTCGTTTCTTCAGAGGCGGACATAGCTACAGTAAATCCGATGAACTAGGTAGTATTATTGGAAGAAATGTTGATCAGAGAATTGTTTATATGATTAGGAAACAATTTCAATAAGTAAAGCTAAAGAAGACGACACATATAAAAATAATGAAATTATAATTGCTCGGCAATATATTGCAATAAGCATTTCCAATAAATTGCCAAGCTGTGTATTGTGATACCATTATGTATTGATGTATCGTCCCACCACTAATATTTAGTTTGTTGTTAATATTGCTATTGCACTCTTAAAGAATAAATATATGGTTGTCTCTTACTTATTAAGATGTTGCGCATCTCTACATTCTTTTAAAAAACAAATTAAAACACATTTATTTAAACAAGTTTTTAACTGACTCTGTATACAACTGTTAACATGTCCATAATCTTGTTGGGTTTTTTTTTTTGCATGGGGTAGGGGAGGTATGATTATATTGTCACTTTGTAAAGTGCCCCTGAACATGTGATATGAAAGGGCACACTATAAATATGCTGTAAATAACAATAATAACCTTTGTAGATTGCTCAGAGGAATTAACTGTTTCATTGTCTGGCAACCTATCTTTATGTTTTAGTATTACCACCAGTATTGGTACCAAGACATACAGAAATACCTGAGAAGATTCCCCAACTTGATGATTATTCTACAACTATACCTGAAAATACTGACTTTCCAGCTGGCATCAATGAGAACTTCAGTATACCTGGTAAATCAGACATTTAAACATTTCATATTCAGATAAGATTTACTTCCCATATATTATCTGTGATTAGTCCTGCATTAGCAATAAAAAAAAGAAAATGCTACTAGAGTGTTCTGGTAATATTTTATCCCGAAAACTAGATTTTGAGTGGTTAATTAATTAATTCATCATATCCATGTGTTAAATTTCAGACAGTCCACCTCCTGGCTACATGAGCGAAGAAGGGGACACTTCAGATACGCAAGGAATGGGTAAGTAATTGAACAATTCAAAAGGATATGCTCACAATAATGCCATATTATAAAATTTTTGAATAAGATTATTTCTTTAACATGTTATCTTGAAGTCACACTAATACGATCATAATTCCTTTAGTTTTCTTCTAAATTACGACACATAATCTACATTGTCTTTATTGCTTTACAATGTTTTCTATCTTTTTTTTCATAATAATGATTTTTATACGCCCACATTTTCATGTGGACATATATTGTCGTGGCCCATGTCCGTCCGTCCGCCAGGATGTTTTGTCCACAATTTGTTTGTGGACACTCTACAGGTCAATTTTTATACGCCCACATTTTCATTTGGCCGAATATTGTCATCGCCCCTGACCATCCGGACGTCCGTCCACAATTGTTTGTGGACACTCTAAAGGTGACAATTTTTATCTGATTTCAACGAAACTTGAAATATAGGTTATCTCCCTAAGATCTCCGTTCCTTTTGATATTGGCATGTATCGGACCATAACTTCATGGATTATGGCCTCTGATTGTACGAAAAATCACGTTTTTAGCTTGTGGGCACCCTAGAGGTCACAATATTGATCTGATTTTGATGAAACTTGAAATCCATGTTTATAACTCAAAGATCTTGTTTGCTGTCGATATTTGCGCATATCGGATCGTAACTTCCTGAATCATGGCCCCTGATTGTACGAAAAATCCTGTTTTTAGCTTGTGGTCCCTCTAGAGGTCACAATTATTATCTGATTTACAAAAACGTTCGAATATATCACCGTTACACCGTAGTTTTGGCTGTGTTCAAATTTTGTGAAAATCGGACTAAAACTGTTGGACAAAATGGCCGCCCCTCTTACACAAATAGTGTATAACATCTGGTATATCAATTTTGATCTGATTTTGATGAAACTTGAAATACATGTTTATAACCCAAAGATATTGGTTCCTTTCGATATTTGTGCGTATCGGATCATAACTTCCTGAATTATGGCCCCTGATTGTATGAAAAATCACATTTTTATCTTGTGATCCCTCTAGAGGTCACAATTATTATCCGATTTGAAAAAATGTTCGAATATATCACCGTTACACCGTAATTTTGATTGAGTTCGGATTTTAAAAAACATTTAAATATATCACCATTCCACCATAATGAATGTTGAATTCGAATTTTGGGAAAATCGAAATGAAACTGCCCAACAAAATGTCCGCTCTTTGTACGCAAATTGTGTAAAAGTATGCAATACGAAGGTTGTGGACCCTCTAGAGGTCACAATTTTTATCCGATTTTGAAAAAACTTAAAACATTATTTTTATATCCCAAAGATCTCAGTCCCTTTTGATATTTGCGCATTTCAGACCATAACTTTCTGGATTATTGCCCCTGATTGTACAAAAAATCCTGTTTGTTTTTAGCTTGTTCTCTATCCATCTCTTGCAAAATGTGGGCGTATCCTGCCTGGCAGCCACTGATTATCTAATTTTGTTGAAATAGAACTTCTGGTATATCAAGGTTGTGAATGATCTAGTGGTCACATTTTTGATCCGATTTTAATGAAACTTGAAATACATGTTTATAACCCAAAGATCTTCGTTCCTTTTGATATTCGCGCATATCTGATCGTAACTTCCTGAATTATGGCCTTTGAGTGTAGGAAAAATGGCGTTTTGGGCTTGTGGTCCCTATAGATGTCACAATTTTTATCCGGTTTAAAAAAAAAATGTGTGAATATATCACAGTTCTACACTAATGATGGTTGAGTTCAAATTTCGTGAAAATCGGACAAAAACTGACGGAAATAATGGCCCCATCTTCTACGCAAATAGTGTAGAAATATGGTATATCAAGGTTATGGAACCTATAGAGACCACAGTTTTTATCTGATTTGGATTTTAAATATATGTTTTTATCATAAAGATCTTGGTTCCTTTTGATAATCACACATATCCAAACGTATATGTGGATTCTCTAGAGGTCACAATTTTTTTTTCAGATTTTAAAAAACGTTTAGATACATGTATATCACTATTCCACCATAATTAATGTTGAATTGGACCATAACTTTCTGGATTATGGCCCCTGATTGTACAAAAAATCTTTTTTGTTTTTAGCTTGTTCTCTATCCATCTCTTGCAAACTGTGGGCGCATCCTGCCTGGCAGCTGTTGGTTCACTTTAGTTTCTAAGATGTATTTCTCTTAATATACCTCTGTGAATCAGAAACAAGAGTTGTTTCCCTTGCTATTTGTGAAATAATGGAGTGAACTACATGTAGTATTAATAGGTTAAATGTTTTTGAATTAACAGCAATATGTTAAAATATAAATGGGTCAATCTTATGGTAATATCAGAGTTGATAGTTGATTTTTCACTTTTGTTTCTAACATGTATTTCTCTTAATATACAGCTGTGGATTAGAAACAAGAGTTGTTTCCCTTGCTATTTGTGAAATAATGGAGTGAACTAGTATTAATAGGTTAAATGTTTTTGAATTAACAGCAATATGTTAAAATATAAATGGGTCAATCTTATGGTAATACCAGAGTTGCTAGTTGATTTTTCCCTTTTGTTTCTAACATGTATTTCTCTTAATACACAGCTGTGGATTAGAAACAAGAGTTGTTTCCCTTGCTATTTGTGAAATAATGGAGTGAACTAGTATGAATACATTAATAGTTTTTGAATTAACAGCAATATGTTAAAATGTAAATGGTTCAATCTTACAGTAATATGAGAGTTGATAGTTGTTTGACGTGATGGCAGTCAGCATGCATCTGACATGTTCATGCCATAGTTCAATTAATATGCTCTATTGACTAATTATTACTTATCATTACTATTTATCATATAAATTATGTGAATTAAAAGTAAATATAGATTGAATGAAATGTGGTACAGGCATTGATTAAATCAGCCGAGTTTATTATGTGGTCGTATATTGTCGTCGCCCCCGTCCGTCCGTCCGATTGACTTTAAATTTGCACACAGTGTTTAAGGTCATGAGACGAAGAAGTCTATTCATTTTCAGCGATTTCCGAAAAGTACTGCCAGAGTTATGGCCCTTGATCACTTTGAAAAATCTTGTGGACGCTCTAGAGGCCAAAGTTAATATCCGATTGACATTAAATTTATACACTGTGTTTAAGGTCATGAGACGAAGAAACCTATTGATTTTCAGCGATTTCTGATAATTACTGCCAGAGTTATGGCCCTTGATCACTTCAAAAAATCTTGTTGACGCTCTAGAGGCCAAAGTTAATATCCGATTGACTTTAACTTTATGCACAGTGTATAAGGTCATGAGATGAAGAATTCTGTTGATTTTCAGCGATTTCCGATATTTGCTGCCAGAGTTATGGCCCTTGATAACTTTGAAAAATCTTGTGGACGCTCTAGAGGCCAAAGTTAATATCCGATTGACTTTCAATTTATACACAGTTTTTAAGGTTATGAGACGAAGAAGCCTATTGATTTTCAGCGATTTCTGATAATTACTGCCAGAGTTATGGCCCTTGATCACTTAAAAAAATCTTGTGGATGCTCTAGAGGCTAAAGTTAATATCCGATTGACTTTAAATTTATACACAGTGTTTGAGGTCGTGAGACGAAGATTCCTATTGATTTTCAACGATTTCCGATAGTAACTGGCAAAGTTATGGCCCTTGATCACTTTGCAAAATCTTGTGACGCTCTAAAGGCTAAAGTTATCATTCGATTGACTTCAGATTGATACACAGAGTTTAAAGGGTCAATAACACTCTTGCTGGCTTGACAGCCCCAGAAAATAAAAAAATAGCCTTATTCTAAGTACTAGATGTGTTAGTGTCTTACCTGTTGTGTAAATTATCCATTAAAACCTATTTTACTTGTCCAGAGGGTTCAAAAATATTTGAAAAGGTTTACGTCAGGCTTTTCAAATCATTTAGTTGAATTTTTCCAATTTTTTAAATTAGGTGTGTTAAGATGAAATTTATATCACCAATTAATTGGAATATTGTAAAATAGTACAATTTGTTGACCAGAATAAAGATTGGGACATATTATTCAGTTACAACAAGAGTGGTATTGAGCCTTTAAGATCTTGAGACGAACAAATATATTGATTTTCAATGAATTTTTATGACTTGAACAGTTAAATCCATGATATTAAAAGCTTTGTATACAAAACGTTAGCATGGGGCAGAACTTTATAAAAAAACAAACAAATTCTAATAGTTTTCTGATAATTACTTTGTGAGTTGTTGATCTTAATCAGATTTTAGTGTATTATAAATGTTTCATTACCGAAAAAAGTAAAAATATGCGACAACTCTTGTTGACTGCCCGGACGATTTAGCTGCTGTGGGCGTATGTTTTGTTGCCTGGCAACCTATCTTTAACTATTATAGTGAGAACTGCAAGCTCTTTATCTAATCTCCCATAATGTATTTTTAATGTCAGTCAATGATCTTTATTACCAATATGTAATATTTTTGGTTGTAAAGGATTGTTTTCGAATCCATAGTTGTACCTGACAGTGAGTAGGGTCGCCTGTCTAACCTCATGGGTTTTCTCTGGGTCCTCCGGTTTCCTCCCACAGCTAAAGACCCCTACGCGCAAGCGAATTGATGAAATGAAATTAAACCATATGTTAGTCCCGAAATGACCTAGTTTGTGTCGAGTGGACGTTAAACCCCATTTCTCTCTCTCACTGTGTAAAGGATTGAAGTTTAAACTTCATTATATCAGGCAGTGCAAACCCACATATGGTACATGTATCTTACTTAATTTTTAAAGATAATTCAGGGCACTACTATCCATCGGTTGACAAGTTTATATAAATATTCAAAGGTTCAGTACCATTTAGTGTTTATACATCCACATTAATTATAATTATACGTCGTACATGTATGTTGCCGTTGACCCTGTCTGTGTGTATGTATGTATGTGTGTGTGTCTGTGTATCGCCTACAGGCCACAATTCTTAACTGATCGTCTTGAAACTTTAAGTACTTATTTCTTATACCG